TTGCATCAAAAGTCAAATAAGGGCCTCTCTCAAAAGCATTTCTGAGATAACAAAAGTTAGACTTTGAGACCACAGAGTGCTCTGAAATCAAGTTGAGAGAGCGAGAGAAACAACACCAGCTTCTTCAAACACAACTGTAGATTAGGTGTACTGTGTGGACTGACAGAAATGCAATGCTGCCAAATGTATGACACCGCCAAACTTATTTTGCTTTATGAATAATAAAAACATTAACCACTAAAAGATTTAGCTTTCATTGATTGAGGCTCAATACATTTACCATGGGAAAACATTTCAGAGCACAGCTAATACTACAGCTTAGCCATTATCCTTGAATGGCTTTGTAAGTCAAGCTCAAGTCTCATTTAGTCTGCTCTACAAACTCATGCCTTCCAGCCTCCTATTGCATTTTGAAAATGAAAAGATGTGCAAAATAATGAAAAGAGAATTATCACGAGAGCTCAGCCTCCTCTGCTGGCCTATGATCATAATACAGGAACACTGTTGTCCAAGAAGATCTGTTTAGGTAGGCTACATCTCATGGAGCTGTTTTGCAGCAGTACTAAGAGTTTGCAAATGCATTTTCCTCTGAATTACAATTGCATGCTTTCCTACAGCAAGCTATTTAAATCCTGCTAGGCTCTCCCAGTCATGTTGTTTAAAAATCCCTGTAGCATACCTAAGCAATGGCCAAGCCTTCCCTCTTTTGCCTGTAAGGCCAGTCTTTTGCATCAACCACCTTTAGGCAAATTCTGTATGTGCTTACATTCCCTTTAGCCACCCACTACACTGGGATTTTTGAAGAGCCTAAAGCAGTCAGATTGTCCAAGGTTCAAACATGCATTTACAGACCCCCTAGCTCTCAAAATCTCAACTATGCCAACCTCAATGTGTGCAGATCTAGGAGAAAAAAAGAACATTTGCACTCCTAAAAACAAATACCTTCCCCTGTGGGTAAATATTATAGAAAACCTACACAAAGCTTCAGCGTGAAGTGCACATATTACCACTCATTCACAGGCAAACATTTTCAAACCTAAGTTCCTAAATCCATACTAAGGCACCCATAAAAAAATGAAAGACACTGGTTTTTCAAATGGTGACAAACATCAACAGCTACAGTTAATGTTAATATTATAGCTACACCAGTGATTCTCAACCAGGGTGCCTCAAGATCCTTTGAAGAGCGATGCAAGGTGTGAGGATAAGTGAAGTTTGAGGATATAAGATGATAAATGCAGACTCAGGCCTTTCTCTGTCTGGCCAAGCCCCTTCTCCCACTGTCCAGCCTCTCTGTAAGGAGGTAAGCACTGCAATATATGTTAGCTTTAGAAATTGAGTGCCACTCAGTTCACAAAAGTTATGAAGGGGTCAAGTCCAATGGGGCCTGCCATGAGTCCAAACACGCTGAGAACCACTGGCTTAGACAAATTCCAGCACTGAGGAAAAAGAGCACATTATAACATACCCAGAAGGAAAAGTCTCTTAGGCGTTTAGATGATATTAGGAGCTCATCTTCTCCTAGAACTTAACTTTTACTGTGACCACATTAGAAAATAACATTGATTTTATCATCTTCTAGCACTACCATTAAATATATCTGGTTTTAAGATACAGTTTGAAGGGAATGGCTTAAAAAAAATCCTTAGGAAAAGTCACTTCAATAGACCTTAAAGTAGGGTTGCATGTGTGGCGGTGGGAAAGAGAAATCTCTCACGGAATCTGTTATTCACATAGAAGTTGGCTATTCCCTGACACCTCCAAAACATCCTTCTCTTGTTTTAGTGCCAGAAATATGTTAGTGAAACTAGGACCTGCTTCAAACCTCATCCTACTCTAGCTCCTTTCTTGCTCAAATTTCAAACGCTCGTGTTTTGACATCCCTATAAGTTACTGTATCTAAAATTAGAACCTCATCTTAGAAATGGTTCACATGACCCCTCCCCCATTGACCCAAATTGGAATTTCACTCAAAAAGTGTGCTTTTAAGTAAAGTGGGTAAATCTAGTTCTGAATCTTATGTTAGATGAATTAACCCCATTAGCCACTTGGTGTCTCACTTGGTCCATGAGAAATTCAGCTAAAACCCGCATCCAGTATATTTCTTTTTTTCCTCACATGTACATGAGCCAACACTCTCCTACGCACAAAAAAACAAAGTCACATTAGGACCTTCGTATTAACGCCAGCCGGTTATTCCAAATTGTTTAGACAAATTGCTTTCCATCCATATGTAAAGTAAAATCTTACCCAAATAACCTTGTCTGCCTAGTTAACTGACCCTACTTTCACATATTTTGTGTGAGGCATTTGAAACTTCATTAGTAAACACTGCCGACCAGAATATGAGAAGACTCAGAGAAAGGTGTAGATATGATAAACATCAGGCCATGGGTTCTGCATGTAAATTTGCTTCCAGTAACATACATGATTCATCCCTTCAGTATTACACAATCCATGTTTAGAATGGAAGTTCCTCCGAGCTATTTCCATGTAGCACGACATATGTGAAGCACCCAGCGCAATATTGATAAATGCATTTATATTGAATCAAACCACGCATTTGGAGGCTTCTCTTCAAGGATCACAGAAAATTAGGGTTGGAAGGGATTGCAGGAGGTCATCTAGTCAACTCCCTGCTCAAAGCAGGACCATCCCGAACTAGGTCATCCCAGCCAAAGCTTTGTCAAGCTGGGTCTTAAAAACTTCTGAGGCTGGAGATACCACCACCTCTCTGGGTAACCTGTTGCAGTGCTTTTCTACCCTCCTAGTGATAAAGTTTTTCCTAAGATCGAACTTGGGCTTCCCTTGCTGCAACTTGAGCCCATTGTTCCTTGTTCTGTTAGCTGCCACCAGAGAGAACAGTCCAGCTCCGTCGTCTTTGTAAACACCCTTCAGGTATTTGAAGGCTGCTATTAAATCCCCCTGTCTTTTCCACACTAAATTAGCCCAGTTTCCCCAGCCTCTCCTCTAACAGGTTGTTCACTGACAGGTCAGATGCAAACTCTGAAGGTGGATTCTCTCCCTACAGTGGTTGTAATCAATACTGAGAATGAAACCACCAGACTTCAGGGATGCATTCTTGGAGGCTGTGGACCATCTCTTTATAAAATATTTTAGAATTTGTGTATATTAATAAAAGCAAATGGTACAACTTGAACTGAAAAATTTCCAGCATAGTGCAAACAAAGTGAATGTAGTTTAAAAACAGGTTGCTTTTCACAGGGGCATCTTAACTATACTGATGAACATCTGTGCTAACGTGTATATTTTAGGCAGTGGGGCTTAGAGGAACAAGTGCATGGATAAAGGCCAAGCAATATGGTATCTTCACAGTTCTCCACTAAAAATAGATTAATGCACAGATTGAGGCTAAAAGGGATCAATATGATCATCTGTTTTCACCTCCTACACAACATGTACCAAAGAACCTCAGAGAAGCTGAACATCAGCCATAGCTCACAAAGGCAGCTATTAAAAAAAAAGAATCCTATCCAAATGGCACATAACATAATTAAGTTGAAAAAACTCATGGGATCATTTCTCTCCTTCCATTCATCATAACTAACTACAAAGCATGTTAAGACATCCAAAGCAGAACCACACTTTTCTCTCAGTACACTTTCCTTATGATTAATCAGACATTTATAGATGCACCTAATGGTTGTTACAATTATCTAATGATAATTATGTAAATCTGTAATTGACTGAATAACCATGAGCAAAGAGTATCTATTAATGGGTCAATGTCATTCTGTCAGGAAGTCTCAAGTCAGTTTCTAGCAAGTCCAGGGTTGCTTAAACATTTTTATTAAACATTTTTAAATGACTCAAATCAAATTTGCAAGATGGCAGGGTATACAACTGTTGTGGAGGATAGAATTAAAATTCTAAAGGATCTTGATAATTTTGAGAACTGGACTATGGACAACAAAAATGAAAAAGTCATCAAAGACAAATGCAAGGTGCTACAGCTAGGGAAGTAAAAACCAAAGCTAAATTACAGAATGGGGGGTAACTGTCTTTGCAACAGCACTGCTGAAAAGGATTTGGGGGGCAGGGGTGACTGTGGGCCACATACTTGCTAAGAGCCAGCCATATGATGCTGTTGAAAGAAAATTAAATGCAGTTTTAGGTTTCGTTAAGAGAAGCACTGTACTCAAGATAACGGAGATAACATACCACTTCATTCGGCCCTCATCAGGGCTCAGCTGCAGTATGGTGTTAAGTTTTAGACACCATATTTTAAGATGGATGTAGGGAAACTGGAGTGGATCCAGGGCAATGAAGGAGGAGATGGAGTTGGAATGCAATCCATGTTGGTTGAAGGCAGTAGTTGTTTAGATATTATGGAGGAAGTGGGGCATGACAGTGGCTTTCAAGTCTCTGAAAGGCTGCTATAAAGAAGATGGAAATAAATTGTTCTCCCCTGCCACAGAGTGTAAGACGACAGACATTAAACTTAAACTACAACAAAGCAGATTTAAATTAAATCTTACTAAAAAAAATCCTAACTGTACAAACATAGGACATGGAAATGGACTGTTCAGGGAAGTTGTGGACTCTCCATCACTGGAGGTTTTCAAGAACAGGCTGGATGGACATCTGTATGGAACAGGTTAGTAAACCCTGTATCTGTGCAAGGGGTTGGACTAGTTGAACCCTGAGGTTCCTCTTAATGCTATGAGTCTATACTAAACACACTAGTAAAGACAAGTACTAAGAAGAGAAAAAAAAAAAGATGCTCTGGTTTGGCCAGAAGTAGACCAATATTAAGGCTAATATTAAGAAATTAGGAAGTGAATATGCAATGCATGCAATAGTTTTCTTATGTCTAGTATTTTTTTTTTTTTTGTACTAGACGTAACAACTAAGTAACACAAGAACAGCAGATTAACACATCAGTAACTTCAGTATTATCATCTCTGGCTGTCTACAAGGGCATCTTAACATAGACAGAAGTTAACCAGGCTCCCTAAGTTGATTGCTGGAGTACTCACCAATGTGTGACATGGGGATGGTATAACTGCCACGGTTTGGGGCACTGTAGATCACAACAGCTTCAGCACCCCTTCTGGTTGCCAATTTGATCTTTTCTGCAAAAGTGCAATTGCCTCTTTCGATCAGTGCTATCCAGGGTGTTTCTGTGACGGTGAACTCTGTGTTGTAATCACAGGCTAGAAGATTAGCAGATTTAGGAATGCCCACTAGTCCCTGAGCACTAGTCAGAGGGGAGTTTAATCCATACAGGCCACATTCACATTCGTCAGTCACAGTGCTGTTGTTCATAGGGTTGAAGTAGAACAGATTCACATAGGCATTCGCTGGAACAGTCTCTACAACTTTAAATAAAATAGTAACAAAAAAAATCAGGAAATGGGAAGGGCTGCACTTCTTCTGCTTCATTGCTTATTCATTTAAGCATAAAATCTAAGATTGTTTGTAGATATTTTCAAATACCGATGGCCATTATGAGTCCTCTGGCTCCCTCAGTCGTTTGAAATTTCAGTCCCAGGTCGGTAACTGACACCACCCACGGCTATGTAGTCCTCAGTGCATCAGCTCTATTACACCTGGCTCATAAGGGGAAGGGGGAGATAACACACCTGCTTTTAGTTGCATAACCCACGGACTCCTGAGCACTTGGAAGACTGTATGTAACCTTTGGTCCTGTGCTTCTGCTGCTCCTTAAGGTCCACCCTCTCTTGTCATTTCCATGCAGATTCTAGCTGCGACTGCAGTCCAACAGTGACCCAGTAGGCTCCTATTTCATCTCAAATATCTTTTACAAAAGGTCAGAAGATTTTCTTTCGTTCAAGGATATTTCACAGGTATCTCACGTCAAAATAAGCAGGCTTGTTAAAAAGAGATATAGAAAATAGAGCAAGAGAAAATTCCGTTTAAAAAGACACATCCTGCTTAGTTTTTCTAGCCGTGTGCCCTGGAAGAATTAAGCAAAGTATGTGCTCTTCTTAGGAGTCCTTCCTCCTCTTGAGTCATTCTGTTTGAGAACCAGGGCGTGTCTATATTGAACTTGCACAGGTATAACTACGTAGATCTGGTTGCACAAAACGAGGCACACCTCTGATGTAAAAGGCTGAAGTTTTTAAAAACAACCCACACAATTAGACTTTGCTTGCATCACATGTTCCCATCTCCCCTTTCAAACGTATTTGAAGTGTCTGGTTTATCAGCATACCAGACTCTCTACTAAACTATGGAGTGTATAAGATTAGTCCTTCAATTCATTCGAGGATGTGGCTCTTCTTAGCTCCTGTTTTCTACTTCCCAACCCAGGAGGATTCTCACCAATTCTGCTTTCCAAAAAAATTCTTGCAACTCCTTTTGAAGCCAATATGGGATGGTGGAATATTGCCTGTATAAAGGAGGATAACAGGTAGCCACCCACTCCCCTCAAAGCCCACGCATAAAATAATGATTGTAACTGCATTGATACATACACTGGAAAGCATGTTGAAGTGTATATATTTTTCCACAAAGGGAAAAATGTACGTAGAAACAGGTTAACAATGTTTTTTTAAGAGTGGTCAAAGTTAGAAAAAGGAGGTGATGAAAATACAGAGAAACTGAACTTGTTGCAAATAAAGAAAAAAGAAACAAAACAAGAATTTGACTTCTCAGTTTATTCTGGAAAAAAAAACAACCTGGTGTGTATGCTTGGGACAGCTGCAATACTAGAGGTTTTATATCTTTGGAGACAAGCTGGACCTAAATTCTCTGGTAAAGTGAATTGCTGTGGTGGAAATTTTTGGAACATTGCAGTAATTTCAGTAGTTTAAATGCAGTAGCTGCATTAAAAAAAACAAACAGATTGCCTCATTCAATTATCTACAACAATTAATAATAATAATAATAATACAGGTGATGGTTTATTATTTGATAATTAATTCATTTTATTTTGGCTGTCCTCATTTGTAAGTTCTAATATGCCAGACATATTTAAATCTTTAGTTTTGAAAATTAACCAGTCAATATTAAGATGAAATTGGGCACTCTGCACAGAGGTTTCTCAGCACCAGTCTGTATTTCTACAACAATTAATAATAATAATAATAATACAGGTGATGGTTTATTATTTGATAATTAATTCATTTTATTTTGGCTGTCCTCATTTGTAAGTTCTAATATGCCAGACATATTTAAATCTTTAGTTTTGAAAATTAACCAGTCAATATTAAGATGAAATTGGGCACTCTGCACAGAGGTTTCTCAGCACCAGTCTGTATTTAGTTCACATTTCCTTGGTTTTCTCTGCAACTATGAAAATTAGAAACATTTATAAAAGTAAAATAAAAGTTAGAGTTAGGAACACAGGCAGGGAATACACAAGGCTCCAGTGACATTTAAACTCAGCAGTAGCTTTATTTCAGCAGTGAAAAAATGATTCCTTCAATATGCATAGGTTCTACAAAGCCCTGTGTGATCCAGGGGTATGAGAGATATGACAAAGCATTATGATTTTAAACGAGTTTCATGATGGATATGACTTTAGTTTCTTAACATTAGCGACACTGAATGAAATGAATGGTGAAACAAAAAGGACCCTTTACAAAATAGTTTTTTGCTAACCTATAGTACACCGTCTTTTTATTTTGTCCTGAGCCTTTTTGAATAGCACAATACTTTAAGAACCATGCAGCACTTTCCTGGGCTATACTGCATCAAAAGGGAGTTATGAGAACTACTCAAAATATGGCAACTCTGTTCAAAAAAAATCTGCTGGCATAGTCAGCATGGCTCAGTTTGGAGGCTAGTCTCTTTCTTAACCCTAGAGCCTACATTGTATCTTGTACTTAAAATATAAAATGCAAAACAGAAAGAAAAAAGATACGTGGTCTACCTAAATAACAACTTTTATTTTCAAATAATACAAAGCAGTAAAACATACCTGTAGCAGGGATGACGCTCTAAGTACACTGACAACATTTTCAAACTTAGACCTGGTGCCCCAGGTATGTAGATATCCATCACAACATATTAAGTGCACATCTAGTTACCAGATTATAATATACTAAATACAGAGAAGTCACTCCTTGTTTATTTAAAGTAATTTATATTAGACAGCAGAACTGAAACCACTGAAGATCGAAGTTGTCTATCCACAGAAAAGTT